GTGTTAGAGAACCAAGCTGAGTCATGTGTCTCCAAGGCTCAGTAAATGCTAAGAAGAATTTCCTGCATCCAGGATACCAACTTGAGGTGCTGACTCACTGACCTTGAGCACACACGCATGGCCTTAAACCTGTTTGCTCACCTGAAAAATGAGCAGATTGGACCCAACTTTCTGAGGATGAGGATGGTAAAAATACTCCAGTCTTCCTTGAGGAATGGCACTGGGCTAGAGCCCCAGGAATCTAGATTTCGCATCTCCGACAACATGATGTTGGTCAGCCTAGCCAGTTGGCAAAGGTGTCTGCTATGCACATCCACTGATCTACCCACTGAGAATCTTCCTGTTGCCCAGCAAACTAGCCCAAATGCAGTCTGGGCTGCTCACATAGCTCTGAAGCCTCAGGGGTTGTCTCTGACTGAGATGCTCTTTGGGCCAGACTTACCTCAAAAATGTAGTCTTTCCCATCTTTACCGTGTACAGCTTTGACAGCACAGATGTCTAGGCCACCAAACATCTCAGAGCAAGTGTCCACCCACAGCTTGTACCTGGAGAAGAGGAGCAGGTGTCCTGAGCCGGGGGCAGATCTGCCTTCCTCTTTTCAGCAAACTCATTCCTATAAGTAGCGTGCCCTCCCCTCTGCTCCCCCACCCCACCTCCAGGAGGCCTTCCTTGGCTACTCCAGCCCAGGTAACTACAACTTCCTCGGAAGCTGTATGATCTTCAGCTCCATAATTTACCGTATCATCCAGTCCTGTCTCATCTGGATAACTGTCCTGTTAGATCAGAGGCTACTTATGGGCAGGGCTTACTGCACAAATCTCCTCACCTATGGAAGCCCCGGCTCCCACTCACTCACCTGTCTGACATGGCGATCTGCTCCAGCATTGCAGAACCTGTGTTTGTCTTCCAGTTCCCTGAGATGGATGTCCTCCTGCAACAAGGTCCCACAGGGACCAGACAGTCAGTGAGCTATGCCAGCAGAGGAGGGCGTGAATCTCCCAGGACTTTAACTGATAGCTGCTTTCCCCACCCACTGAGCCAACAAATAACCCAGGGACCTGCCCACACTTCTCTACTAGGATCCAGCCTCCTTCTCTCTGCTCCAGTTCATGTGTCTTGATCTCCAGATGAGCTACCGCTCTCCCTGAAACCCCTGCAGCACTCCACCCAGACCTCAGGTACAATCTGACAACTACGTTTTACTTTAGTTACAAGTCTGCCAATCTCTCAAGACTACAGACTGTATTTTTTTAGAGCCTATCTGCTCAGTATCTGGCTGTCTAATTAATATATACAAACTGAATTGAAATGAGTCTCATCAATATCTTTCAGGGCTTCCTTATTGGCTCATTCATTTAGACAACAGTTAATTTCAAAGGGTCCACAGTGTTAGCAATATGACTCTGGGCAAGTCAGTTAACCTCTTTGGGCTTACTTTGGGCTATCTAATGAAGCTGATAGCATCAAGCAGCCAACCTCTTTTCTGTTATGCCCCACCCCCACGCCCAACCCCCGCCCTTAGCCTTCACTTTGAGTATGTGCTGGGATCAGCTAGGTTTGGATGGAACAGGAGGCAGACACCTGGCTTTTGGTTCTAGATTTATTCTTAACTGGTGGCTTGCTCTCCTCTGTAAACACAGGGTTGCCATGGGGACTAATTGATACAGATTCAAATAAACGTGAAGTACCTAAAGCATCTCCTTTTAATGGCCAGTCTTCACTCAGACACAGTGGAGGAAGAGGAAGATTAGGGGGCGCATTCAGACACAGTGGAGGAACAGGATTGCCTGGGGGTGGTACTCAGACACAATGGAGGAAGAGGAGGGGGGGCACACACACACTCAGACACAGTGGAGGAAGAGGATGGCCTGGGGGGCACTCAGACACAGCGGAGGAAGAGGATGGTTGTGGGCACTGAGACAGTGGAGGAAGAGGATACTTGGGGGCATTCAGACACAGTGGAGGAAGAGCATGGTTGGGGGGTACTCAGACACAGTGGAGGAAGAGCATGGTTGGGGGGTGCTCAGACACAGTGGAGGAAGAGGATGGCCTGGGGGAACAGAAAAGCCCTACTCACATTTTTTTTTTTTAACAAAAACTGCAACATTTATTCTACAATGCCCCCCTCCACACACACACACCAAATCAAGACCGTGACACTAGACTGATTTCCCTTTACAATATTATTTTCTACAACAGACGCTGGGACAGACATATAAACAGAGTCTGCTGAATCTGGAGGTGGTGGTGGCAGCATTCTGTTAGAAAGGAGAGGAATAAACATTTTTTTAAAAGATCCTACTCCTTCACTTGTCTCTCCGTTCACCTACCCTAAAAAGAGGAAAACATGGATATGCTCCATTTTGGTAAATCATGCCACATGGTCAGTTTATGGGGTGATCAGAGAAAACAAACAAACAGAAAACACACAAAAAAACCCTAAAAATATTGCAGACCTTTATTTTCTTATAAATCTCCTCTTAAAAATGTTAAACTGTCTTTCAAGAAGATCTCAAACAGAGCCTTCATGTCTCCATCACTCAGGGCTGTTTGGAGATTGGATGTAAGAGGGTAAGGCAAAAATGATCTGCACTCTTGGTATATTACGAGGCCCATCCCCGTCCACGGCTAATGACAACACTGAGCGTGCATGTGAAATGAGTCTGTCGAATAGATGAGTGACGGGGGAGTATGTGGCAAATCACTTGCAAATCAGCCATGGCTCTGCCTAGGAAATAATCCACAACAGACTACCCAGCAGTTCCCAGGAAAAGTCTCCCTAGAGACCTAACTCCAGACCCTGAGAAACCTGCATCTACCTACCGCTAGGCAGCCCAGTGAGTGGAGCCAACTGATAGGATAATAAACACTCCTCCCACTTGAACAGCTCTGGCAACTTCTCAAGGTTCCTTCTCACCCAAACCCTCAAGAGAGCCTCATTGAAGTCCTCTGTGGTGAGCAGGTTAGGATTCCTGTCCCCGCTGGACAAAGAGATAAAACTCCAAAAGGTTAGAACTTGTCCAAGGTTGTAAGTCTATCCTATCAAAGTAGCTATAAGAGAAAAATCTAGTGTCTTGTCTCTCTCATCTACATGCCATTGCCTAGCTCTTGCAAAACCTGAGTAGAAATAAAAAGAGAGAGAATCATAATAAAAATAAAACAATGGTGGTTTACAAATATATCCTGTGACCAGACTGAGCACCTCAGGGAAGGTACAAGGAATCACTCACTTTCTTGTCCCAGCACAGAGCTACGGGACAGAATAGAGTTTCAGAAACTTGGAGTGAATAGCAATAATACCCCATATGTCCCACACATTTAAAGCTCACAAAGCCTTGTACGAGTTCACTTCCCACCCTTCTCTAACCATAGGAAGCAGGGCACACACCCAGACTGGCTTCCTGGGACATGTGGGAACAGAGGGAACACTGAGAGGTCAATGAGAGGTCACTCAGTGTCAACCCATGGCTCCCCTGGATGTGCAAAGGTCATGTGGCCTCCACTGAGAGTAGAGGGAGGAACAACACCTTCTGTCCACCAGACACGGAACCTCAGGGCTCTCCAGAGGGAGGGCTGGGGAGGAAGGGAAGAATCCCAAACTTTATCAACTCAATTTCTTCTTCCAAGAACAAGGATGTGGCCAAACGTTCGGGGAAGAGGAATGGTAGAGAGAAGCTAGGAAACATTCCCCCGGGTAACTGATGTTGTCAAGTCACTTCCGCCTCATAGCGACCCTGTATAGGGTTTATGAGAAGCAACTGGTGGATTTGCGGTTCACAGTCCAGTGCTGATCCTACAGCACCACACCAGAAGTCCCCAACTAACTGATGTTGTTGTTGTTGTTGAGTGCCATCGAGTCGGGTCCGACCCATAGCGACCCTATACAGGGTTTCCAAGGGTGTAAATCCTTACGGGAGTAGAAAGCCTCATCTTTCTCCCGCGGAGCGGCTGATAGTTTCGAACCGCTGACCTTAAGGTTCGCAGCCCGATTCGTAACCACTACGCTACCAGTCCCTTACAAATAAAAAAATAAGTACAAGTTTTCTAAAGGTGTTCTGGTCACCCACCCCTCACAGGTATTTGAAAACTCTCTCTTTCTCTCTCACACTTTTTTTCCTTCCTTCCTTCCTTCCTTCCTTCCTTCCTTCCTTCCTTCCTTCCTTCCTTCCT